TTATAGTCTAAATGTATTCATAACTTCACTCAGTAATCAGGATGTAAATGGATAGTTTCTCCATAGATGCCTAAAAATGGACAGAATGTCTGTATTTGAAAGCACCAATGTTTCAGAATAAATATACAGGAAGAGCTGTATCTAGTGTTATATCACTAAGCTACAATATATGAAGTACTGGGTTTAATCCTGAATACTTACAGAATTAACTTCTATGTTTACCATTTCCACACAGCTCAGAAGCCACTTTCTGAACACAAATTCTATCTTAACTTCTGTTGACAGGAGCTAACCTAGTGCTACACATTCTCTTGACAAAAGAAGGGCAACTTTCTCTCTTTGTGGTTATCAGTATCAGCAATGGTATCGCAATATATTTGCTGGGTCTCCATCCACTTGAATCTTATGAGCATTTCCCCAAAATCCTCCCCTCTTACATTTCCAAATATTTAGTACTTTTCTTTATAAATTTACAAAGTTATAAGTCATATAGTAATTGATGCCAAGATAAATATCTTTTAAATTGCAGTATTTGTAAATAATGTCAGTAAATTGAAGTCAATCAAATCTATTGTCCCAAAAGAGAAATAATTTGGAAGGCAAAACTGAATTCATTGCTAGGAGCACTGTGCCTTAGCACAGCAAGAACTACCTATTTAGTCATAGCATGATGGGGTCATCCTCTTGACATTTTCTAGTCAGAAAAAAAAAACATTAAAGAGTAAGGAACCAGGCAGAGAGTAGCAATCTAGGATCAGAAAATATCATTTTAAGTTCCCAAAGGAAGAAAAAAATGAAGGCAAAACAAGCAATATTTGAAGAACTACTGGTCAAGAGTGCTTATTGTTTTTAACTAATTGAATAAGCTTTAGATTCAATCATTCTCACGTAACAAACAAATATAAAAGAAAACAAGCAGATTTGTCATAGTAACTGCTAAATAAAACAAAATATTACTATTCCTTTAAAGTGGTAACAATCAACAATAACAAAACTGAGAACTCACTTTTCATTGAAAATTATAGAAGCCAGAGCACAGTGTTGGAACATATTTTAAATAAAAAACAAACAAACCAAAACCAAAAATACCTGTCACCCTTGTTATTCAGATTTCAAAGCATATTATAAATTAAGGGGAAAATACAGTTATTTCAGACCAAACAGAAAACTTCAGGAAGGAATGACAAAATAAGAAGTGTGTTGATGAACCTGCATTTACAAATTGGATCACTTGAGGTCCTCATAAATTCATTATTCAAATGCTTAGTTGCCAGTTGGTGGACTGTTGGGATGTACGAGAAGATATGGGCCTATGGATAAGGACACAGTTCTCAGATGCTCAGATACTTATCCAGCACCATTCCAACCTTCCTGCAACCATACTCCATGTCATGTGAACTAACCCTTTGAAAATGTAGGTAAGCATTCAATGAATCTTTTTGTAAGAGTTACCTTGGTCATGGTGTGGCTTTCACAGTAATAGAATAGTAACTAAGATAGAAGTTGGTACCTAACCATGACTTATTGGATGAATATGGAAGACTTTGTGACTTTGGACTAGAAACTGTTGAATACTTAAAGTAGGGATTGTATAGGCAATTGAATGAGCATGCACAATGATTCTCAGAGTGATATAACCTGAAGCATTCCAGCTCAAGAAGTTTAAGAGGGAAAGAATATTAGCAGCTGACTTAGAGAACATTGTAATATTTTAGCAAAGAATATGGCTACTTCTGGCCCTTACCTAAAAATCTGCCTTAGACTAAATCAAAGAGTTTTGGGTTAATGGCATTGGCAGAGAAGATTTCAAAACAACCTAATGTTAACTGTGCCACATGACTATTAGTGATTACTTTTTGCAAAGCTATCATGAAAAGGAGTAGATAGCTCAAAAAGAAATACAAAATGTGCAGGTCCTGGACAAAAACTTACATGTTGGAGCCAAGTTCAGTGCTCAAAGAGATAAAAAGTTTAAAGAAAAAAAATTGAATAAAAACAAGACTTCATGAATCTAAGCTTCCAATTTGTGAAAAGCAATTAAAGTATATGTAGCAAGTTAAACATCAATAACTGAAAGAGTATACAAATACAGTAGTAGAAATACCCAAGTTCTGGCAAGAAGAATGTGGCTTCAGTCACGTGGTTCTCATTCTAAAGTTAAGAATAACAGGAGTTATGGGATCGTTTTCTGCATGGAGGAAAAATAACATTGCATGAAATTCTGAAGGTGAAACCTAGATTTTGGTGGCAACTTCAAGGTGTTGGAGATACCAGAATTGTGACAATGAGTGCTGATAACAATTTAAGAGATAAAAGAATTTTGTAGTCAACAAAGGTATAATGAGTTGGAGATAAGAAGAACATGTTGACATCAGACATGGAGACCGCAGAGTGTAGAGTTTGTCTTGTGGATTTTCAGGCTTGCTTTGGTCCAGTATTCCCTTCCCGCTTGTTTAACATATTCTTTATATTTTGGTTTGACCTTTATATAACTGCCTGACCTTTATCATATAATTCTGTCTTTTCAACAGAACTGTAAGTGCTTTGTTTCATACTACTTACAACAGTTGACTTATAAAGCATTCACACAGGATGGGGCTATTAAGCATTCCCTGTTTGAGGATAGTCTGTTGATATCTCCTAGTAGGCTGCGAATTATAAGTGGGCACTGTAAATGCAACATTTTCTATTTCCTTTTCTTGTAAGGGTGTAGTGAAGAAACAATATTTTAATCAATATCTATAAGAGGTCATCCTTTAGATAACATGGAAGGCAAAGGAATTCCAGATTATAGAGGAGTCATAGGTTCATTTATCTTAGTGACAGCTCTTAGATAGGTTACCATTCTCTACTTTCCAGATTTTATTTTATAAACAAGTACAGGAGAATTCCAAGGGCTGGTTGATTCTTCTATATGGTGAGCACCTATTAGCTTCTGTATCAGTTGTTCTAAAGCCTGTAGTTTCTCTTCTGTTAAAGGTCATTATTTAATCCATACTGGTTTCTCTGTTAACCATTTTAAAGTTAGGGCTCTAAAGGTTTACTAGTTGCTTTGTTTTCTTGTACAGCTTAGCTGGCTGGTGACTTTTGCCTATAGTACCTTATAATGGTAATTTTAAGGTAATTACGAAGGAATGTAAAATTGGATATTCTATTACTGCAGCAGGTAATGACCTCATAAATTTACTGTGATATGAGCCACATATGGCCTCAGCCTTCCCTCTGTCCTTCTGGCCCTATGCATTCAATCAATCTCATGCTTTGTTTCACTTGATATAGGGTTCCAATTCCTAGGAATTGAACATCTGCCTCTTGAAGTGGCCAATTTGAATGCCAAAATTCTAAAGTAATGATAGTCACATCCACATCTATGTTCACAAATCCCTCAATTACAATGTTATTTATATGTATTCTTAGCTTTGATCTTGGATCGTCTATAGAAAACTGCCAAAATATACCCTTCCTATTTTCATTGGAATTTTTGATTCATCCTCCATGTTTATTTCATCGTTCAGACAGTATGTTTTTTGTTTTGTTTTGTTTTACAGCAGGCAAGGGATATTTTCATCTTCCAGGTGAGACATGTTCTCCACAGTGACTGAGAATGACTGGATCATGTTTGACTTGGGGACCTGAGAGAGGCCCCTCAAGGGGTTTTCTGATGGTATCAGGATTATATATCTGTCTTTTGTTGGTATACATTTGTTGGTCCAATGTTGGTGTTTGCCACATATTCTACATAATCCAGAAGGTTAAGACTTCTACTTTTGTCATTTCCAGAGGAGACATTATTTCTAGGAATTCTACAATCTTTTCTCAGTTGTCCTATTCAACCACAATTAAAACATTTGTCATTTTGTGTGGGAGTCTGCGTTTCTCAATGGATACCCACGCCCGACCCAGGCTGCGCGCTTCCTGAACTCGGGCCCACGAGAAGGGACATTGTCCTGAGGGTTGGGAAAGAAGACACACACACAAAGAAACCCTGCTCATCTACAAGAGTAAATGGCAACTTTATTAAACTCAAGTCAGATATTTATACCAGTGGGCAACCAGGATCAAAAAGGCAAAGCCTCCTCCCAACCAGAAGCAGGAGGAGAAGATTAAAGCTTCCCGGCCCCTCGGGCAGGGTCAGCCAGGGGAGGCAGGCTAAAGGCTCACTGCTAAGACCTTGAATACAGGTGGAATCACCATAACAAAGAGAACCAGGTTCTTGCTAAGTTATCCCCTCAAGCCAGAGCTAGAGCAGAGACTCCAGGAAGCCGGAGGTCACACGGCCCTGCGAATCGCCAGGAGAGAAGGGAAGAAACTTTGGTAGCCACAATTTTGTTGTCTTTGGAATTTACTTCTCCTACCTAAGCATTAGTACTATAGTCAAATGTTTCAACAATCATTGTATGCAGGATCCTTTCATCCATTGGTGCTGATCTATCCTTGAAAGGTCCAAGTATCTTTTTGCATTTGAAGTTGGCATTTTCAAAAACCAGAGTTTCCAGCATTTGGATCTGTTACTCCTATTTGTACACCCTTAGTTAATCTTTGTAAAAAGTCAACAACGGGTTCTTTTTGGCCTTGTTTAACCATAAAACATGATTTAGTTTATTTCCCTGGCTCTTGAATCATGTCCTAATCATTTAAAACTGCTGAGTGGCATAGGGACAAAATGTGTTTATGATAAAAACTTGATCCTGTGGGTCAGAATAAGTGCCCTTGCTAAGAATTTGAACTTGGGAAGCTTCAAATCCTTTTGCTTTTCCCCGTTGTTCTAAAATTTTTCCCTCTTCTCAAATAGTATTTCCTCAGTACTTGCAGGTCATTTTCCAGGATGGTAGAAACTAATTGAGGCCAAACATGTGGAAAAGCTATATTGCAAGAAGCCCATGTCTTTACTCTCTTACTAAAAATAGTGACTACAGGCCATAAGATATTACTGCTTGCTTAATTTCTTTTAGTCCATTGAAATCTATAAGTTTCCATCTATATTCTTTGAATCCTTTCAGGCATTTAGAACTTGAAGCTTTTCCAGAAGTGATTACAGGTATGGAAGCTAAAACCCTGGGTAAGTCATTTCTGACTCTAATAAGTACTGGTGATGTCAAATCTTGTCCTTGTACCTTCTCTCCCTACTCATGAGCTCTGATAATTCTTCAGTCTTTTCAAGTGTTTTTACTACTGTCTTTTGTAAAGCCTGAATCTCTTGACCTGTATATATTTCTAGTGATCTCATTGATGCACCTAGTTTTTGGTTTTTATTCTGCACATGCTATTCCAAAGTATGAAGTTTTTCATTTAAAAATAACATCTCTTCTTTGGACATTATTTGGATAGCAAGCAGATTCCCTTTCTGCAGAGATAATTTATCTGATACCCTATCATAAACTTTTAACAGATTTTTATTGTCAAATTCGACAGTATGAATTCTTTCAGATAATTTCTCAGTATCCTTTAACATGGATTGATTTTTTGTCTGTCAAAGAAATGTTATCCTTTTCAATGGTATTATTTTTTTAACTAACTTTTGATTTTGATGTTATTAATCCTATAATCTAGCTGTTCATTATTAGTCTGGAAAGACTGTTTCATTTCCAAGAGTGCCTGATTCTTGGCTCTGTCATCAAACAATTTTTAAGGATATATTATGAAAAGCAAAGCTAAGTTTCAATATTCAATATATGGATATATCAGAAAAATCATATAAGCCTTGCAGAATATGTATAGTAGAAACAAAAAGGATATTAATTCCTCAGTTATAATATTTTAGCCATTGTATAACTTTCAAATTTATTAATTTACTTACCTCCATTAGGAGATTTCATTAAATTGCTGTAGGTGTAATAATCTTTATTAGCCAGCAGGTGTTGGTGGCAGCCATGTGGTGGACTGATGTGACTGGCAGCTGAGAGACATGACCAGTGGTGGAGTAACCAGTCCCACACCACTTTGGTTCTGTGTGTTGGCACCTGGTTAAATACTGACAAATATACTTTACTTGACAAATTAAAAGCAATTAAGTCAATTCTGTACATGAAAAGAGGTATTAGGTGATCAGAATACTAAGGAGCCCAGAGCTCATGAGCATGGAACACAAACTGGATTGCACAAGTTTCCACATGGTAGCAAAAGTGGCAGGAGATGAAGCATGCATGAGCATAGAAATTGCCAAGTTACCACTTGGTAGCTTCTTTGTGGCATAGTATTGATACAAAAAAAACACTTAGTAGGTGAAATCAAGACAGGAGTGGGAGACCTTCTGGGCTGTGGATCTTTTGGGCTTATCCCAGTAGGCCTGGAGTTGGGATTCATGTGGGTAACAGATGAAGATGGATACTATAACTTCACATTAGCTCATAATTGAGTATAATGAAGGGTTCTTTATTTAGGAGTGGACTCAGAGATCACAGTCCTCAGCACAGACTGGGAGCAGAAACTGAATTCAGCAGCAGCAGAGAGAGAGAGAGAGAGAGAGAGAGAGAGAGAGAGGAAGACTGGATTTGTGGCTACATTTATAGTAATAGTATAAGAGACCATGCCAAAATGGACTGGTATCTTAAAGGTTTTGGTGGAGGGTGTTCCCACTGCAATGAGGTAACACTTATCTTGTTACCCAAACCACACAAAGATGCAAATAAGAAAACAAATTACAAGGCAATTTCCTTCATGAATATTGATGCAAAATTGCTCAATAAAATACTGGCAAAACAAATGAAAGATGATATCAAAGCATCTACCATGATCAAATTGATTTCATGCCAGAGATGCATGGAGGGTTCAACATATGCAAATCTATCAATGTAATCCACCATATAAATAAACTGAAAGAAATAAAACATGTCATCATTTCATTAGATGCTGAGAAAGCAACATTAGACAAAATCCAACACCTCTTCATGATAAATGTCTTAGAGAGATCGGAGATACAAGGAATGTATCTAAACATAATAAAAGCAATATACAGCAAGACAACAGACAGCATTAAATAACTCAATGTGATTCCTCTAAAATCAGGAACAAGATATGGTTGTCTTCTCTCTACATATCTATTCAACAAAGTACTCAAAGTTCTAGATAGAACAATAACACAACAGAAATAGATCAAATTGACACAAATTGAAAGGAAGAAGTCAAAATTTGCTATTTGCAGATGATATAATGGTTTTTACATAAGTAACTCCAAAAATTTTATAAGGGAACTCCTACAGCTGAAAAACATTCTCAGTAATGTGGCAGAATACAAGACCAACTTAAAAACAAGAACCCTCCCATATATAAATGATAAAGGGGATGAGAAAGAAATCAGAGAAACATCACCATTTAAAATAACCACTAATAACATAAAATATCTTGGGGTAACACTGACCAAAGAAGTGAAAGACTTGCATGACAAGAAATTTAAGTCTTTGAACAAAGAAATTGCAGAAGATATCATAAAATAGAAACATTTTCCATGCTCTTGGATAGATAGGATCAGCATAATAAAAAGTGACAATTCTTCCAAAAAGTGATCTATAGTTTCAATACAATCCTCATCAAAATCCCAAAACAAGTCTTCACAGACTCAAGGAACAAAACAGACTCAAGGAACAAAACTCAACTTCATATGGAAAACCAAAAAACCCAGAATAGCAAAAACAATCCTCTATGATAAAGGATCTTCTGGAGATATCACCATCACTGACATCAAGCTCTATTATAGAACTATAGCAATTTTAACGGCTTGGTATTGGTGTAAAAACAAGCAGGTAGGCCGATGAAATTGTATCAAAGACACATTGATCCATAAATGTAATAAACACCTGAGTTTTCACAAAGAAGCTAAAATTATACAATGGAAAAAAGAAAGCTTCTTCAACAAGTGGTGCTGACATACCTGAATGTCTACATGTAAAAGAATGCATATAGACTCATATCTATCCTCATGCAGAAAACTTAAGTTCATATAAATTCAAGACCTCAACATAAATTCAGATACACTAAGGCACATTGAAAGGTAAGTGGAACATAGTCTTGAATGCAAAGGCACAGGGGTCCACTTCCTAAATATAACACCCGTAACACAGACACTGAGAGCAACAACTAAAAAATGGGATCTCCTGAAAATGAGAATCTTCTGTAAGGCATAGATCAGAGTACTAAGACAAAATTGCAATCTACAGAATGAGAAAAGATCTTCATTAACCCCACATATGACAGAGGTCTGAGCTCCAAAATATATAAAAGACTCAAGAAACTAGACATCAAATTATCAAACTCAATCAAAACTGGGGTACAGATCTAAACAGAATTCTTAAGAGAATAATTGGAAATGGCCAAAAGACACTTAAGGAATTGTTAACTATCCATCACCATCAGGCAAATGCAAATTAAAACATGAGATGTCATTCTACACTGATCAAAATGAATAAGGTCAGAAACACCAATGATAGCTTATGCTGAAGAAGATGTGAATTAAGGGCAATACTCCTCCATTGCTGGTGAAAGTACAAACCTGTACAGCTAATTTGTAAATCAGTATGACAATTTCTCAGAAATTTGAGAATCAATCTACCTCAGAACCCAGAAATATCAATTTTGGGCATATACCTAAAGAGTGCACATCCATACCATAAGGACATTCGCTCATCTGTGTTCGGAGCAGTATTATTTGTAATACCCAGATCTTGTAATCAACCTAGATGCTCCTCAACTGAACAATTGCTAAAGAAAATGTGGCATGTTTACACAGTAGGGTACTACTTAGCAGTATAAAACAATGACATCTTGAAATCTGTATGCAAATGAATGGAACTAGAAAAAAAAAAACACCCTGACTGAGGTAACCAGACCCAGATACACAAACATGGTATGTATTCAGTCATAAATAGATAGTAGACATATACAATGGGGTATTAAGATAGGACAAAATTAGACCCACTGAATGTGGGGTTTAGGTGTGACATTTGGGCAGACTGTGTGGCCCCTGGCATCAGACCAGGATTTATCTCTAGTGTTTGAACTGATGTCTAGGAGCACATTTTTTGGAGCAGTACCTTGCTCAGCCTAAATATACTTGGGGTAGAATGGCAAGAGAAAGATGTAAAATATTAGAATAAATCATGTCTAAAATTTCCAACATTAATGTTAGATCTCAATATGCAAATCAAAAATGTTCAGAGACTATCAATAAGTGTAAACAGCAAAATTCCTACACAGAGGCATAATGTTATCAGTCAATTGTTTCATCTGGATAGAAATTATAATTGATAAGAAGGCTGTCTTGAGTTTGTAGTCATTTTCCTTGCATGTACAAAGCACTGGAATGTAATGGAGGGCCCAGACATTTACAACTCAGAGAAGAGGCCTACACCTCCAGGCTGTAAAGGAAATGAAATTAATGCTCTAGATATTCAGATTGATGGAGTTTGACATGGTCTTTAATAACCACTGTAGCTATTATAATATTTGGGTCTCAGCAACACTGAATAGAAGCAGTTGGCAGCCCTGGTAGAGTTCCTGCTCATTAATAGAGATGAATACTTTTCATTGGTATGAATGTTGCTTTATTGAGACAAATTTAAGGTCAATTTTGTTATTTGTATATTTCTTTCCTTGATTAAGGTATTGTGCTTGTGCAGCTCATTTAAAGCCATAATGTATAGTTAAAAATACAAATTAATTTGGAGGGCAGAACCCCAGTGCGGGGGACAGCTCCACAGATCGACCTTCAGGGAATGTGGCTTGGGGAGACAGTGAGCCTTGGCAGAGCTCTGCCCAGCTTTCACAGGATGGACAAGACAGTGTTATAGAGCGGGAGAGGATAGGAGTCCCCACAGAGCCCGACTCTGCAGACAGCCACGCCTACCCCCCAGCTGCGGTCATTTATATGGTGGACCCATATATATTTCTATATTCAATACTTGAAATCCATGAAGTTTTCAGTGTACTGCCAGTGCAGGCGGCCTCTGCCTACACAGATCCACATTAAATCCCTCACAGGCTTTGGGCCTGCAGCCAGCATTGAGATGACCCTCAAGAACCCGGAGCAGCCCGACCCAATCCAGCTTTATTCCCCTCCCTTTATATTGGCCCCAGTCAAGGACAAGCAGACAGAGCCAGGAGAGACTTTTGGTGAGGTGACCCTGAAATACAATGTACTCTTTGTGGGCTAGTGTCTGTCTCATGACCAGCGCTGGCTCTTGGCATCCTGCACTGACCTCCATGGGGAATTACTGGAGACCTGTGTTGTAAACATTGCTTTACCAAGCAGGTCACGGAAGAGTAAAGTGTCTGCGTGTAAGATTGGGCTGCAGAAGTTATGGGAATGGTGCCTGGGGATTGTCCAGATGATATCTCTGATCTGGAGAGTGGTCATAGGCCGCTTGGGGCGTCTTGGCCATGGGGAGCTTAAAGACTGGGGTATCCTCCTTGGAGAATGTTCGCTACAGACAATCAGCAAACAGCTCAAAGATGTGTTCTGGATGTGTGGGATCTCCGCCGCATACACTCCTTCTATCCTTAGTGCCTGCCTGGTTGCCATGGAGCCCGAGGGGTCCTTTGTTGTGATGCCAGATGCTGTCACAATGGGCTCTGTGTTTGGTCAAAGCACTGTTGGATCCCAGGGTTTTCCCCTGCTCCTAGAGGCCAAAGCACAGAATGCAAGAACTGTTTACCCTAAACCAGCCCAGCTTCCTGTTAACTTCTCTGCTGGATTCTACCAGCCTGGCAGATTAGCATAGAGCCTTGTTTTGTCTTTGGTATGATAATTTCACCTGCAAAGGAGGGTTTCCACAGCACCTAAATCTTCTCTTAACTGTCTATCACAGCTCCAAACCGGGTACCCCCTGCCTGGAAGAACCTGCCACTCTGCGCCAGGCTCTCAAAGCTGTGATCTCACTTCTGGCTGGGAGGGGGTCCTTCTCTTCTGGGAAAAAGAGGTATATTAACCTGGTGAAAGCAAAATAAAACATGGCATTCACCTCTTGGTGAATGACCCGGACTCTCTATGTATGTCTTGTGTTTAACCCCTAGGCCCTTGCCCAAGCTCATGATGGTATGGAGCCGTGGTCCATACCCGGAGGGTGGTGATGCAGACCTCGGGTGAATCCCACAAAGCATTGGGCTGAACATGCAGTCATCTCAGCTAAACACACCTCAGGATGCTTCCTGCACCCATATCTTGGTGTTCCCAACATTGTCCACCATTCAAGTGCCTCCTGCCAACTACCCCAATGAAGACGGGTTTAGCCCCAAAAATGATGATATGTTTGTAGACCTTCCATTCCCAGACGATATGGACAATGACATTGGCATCTTAATGACTGGGAACCTCCATTCCTCCCCCAACTCGTCCCCAGTTCCCTCCCCAAGCTCTCCCTCTGGAATCAGTGTGGACTCTCACTTTCAGCACAGTCGGAGTCAGCGCGAGCGACTTCGGTCTCGGGAGGCCCCAGAGGAGCTCAAGCAGCAGCCGCTGGCCCTGGGGTATTTTGTGTCAACTGCCAAAGTTGAGAACCTCCCGCAGTGGTTTTGGTCATCGCGTCCCCAGGCCCGGAACCAATGCCCTCTCTTTCTAAAGGCTTCACTCCATCACCACATCTCCATAGCGCAGACAGATGAGCTCCTTCCTGCCAGGAACTCCCAGCGGGCTCCACACCCTCTGGACTCCAAGACCACATCTGATGTTTTAAGGTTTGTACTGGAGCAGTACAACGCCCTATCCTGGCTCATGTGCAATCCGGCCACCCAGGACCGCACTTCTTGCCTTCCCATCCGCTTTGTGGTGCTCACGCAGTTGTACAACGCCATCATAAACATGCTCTAACCAGGAAGTGGGTCCCTCTGCCTCAGCTCTCCTGCAGCCTTGGCCAAGGAGCCAGCTCCAGTCTACAGATGCCCGGCCTTTTCCAGACCACTCCCTACAGCCCTGCACTGTGACGCCTTCTGAGCAGGCACTTGTCATTCTGCAGTGTTCATGCCACAGTGACTCCTTGACGTGTTTCATGAGGACCTGGAAATTTCCTTAAGAAGTGACTTGAGCCAATGTGTGATGTATGCAACCCGCAGTCACCAGGAAGTGGTGGCTGTTGGTGGCTTATGAGGGAAACAAAAGAGACACTGTCCTTTTGCACAAGAGTCTGCTCCCAGGCTCTGTTAGTGTCAGGCTGTCCAGCCCTCTGGATGCAATCCTGTAGCCAATGGTGGATGCCTGTGGGTCACCCGGACTCCATAACCTGGGACGTGTCACAACTATGAACCAGCTCCATCCAGTACAGGATTTAGTACTAGGGTCTCCGCCTCCCCAGCCTGTCAGGAGGGCTTTGTTTGGTTGGCCCCACACCCTTGTAGACACAGGAGGTCTGGAGACAGCTGCATTTTGTTTATTTATTTTTAATTTAGTTGTAAGGTTTTTGCAACTTTATTTTTTCTAATCTTGAGGACCAGGTACAGTAGCTGAAACCCACTGAGACCCACCATAGGATTCTCTGACCACATATCTCTTATCCTAGAAGTCAGAAAAGGAGCGAGAACAGACTGGGGAGATCATGCCAGACACCCAGCAGTAGATTCTGGTAAGAACCATCAGGGTTCTAAGTGTTCTGCTGTGCTGTGTGGCCCACATCGTGGGTGGATTACACTTGTCTACGAAGGCGGTCAGGCTCAGCCCCAAGCTGGGGGCGGCAAGGACCAGAATCACTTCTCTATACAGTCACAGGGAAATACCTTTTCTAGAGAATTCTTTAAGAAACCCAGGTCTCTCCTTTCATTTGATCAAAAGGGACTTTTGTACATATCACAACCAAACCAGTTACAAATATGGTGAATTTTCTTCTGGACCATAGGAATATCATTTCAAAGAAACAAATAGTACAACTCAACCATTAAATCAGTACTTGAAGCTGAACCTCCGAGTGGGACTTTAAAACAAAACAAACAACAATGCCTTTTTAAAGCATTAACAGCTGACTGAAGTATTTTGACTCCCCCTCCCAGACCTTAGGGTTGACTTTGAAGCCTTGTTTCTAGCCCATATGTCACATGTTTCTGCTGTGGGTGGTGGTGTGGACCGGCTTCCCGGAGCCCTGCTGGGCAGTGAGCCTGACTTCCGTGGAGAGTCCTGCAAACCAAGTTCTTCCAAGAGACTCTCATGTCCTGGTTATTAACAAAGAAAAAAAGGAAAATGCAATAATTGATATGCTTTTGTAAAAGTATTTTTCTTGAGATAATCTAACGTTTAAAACATTATATTAAATAACAGATGGTGGGGGGTGAAAGCAGAGAAATAACTTGTAAACGGGTGACTGTTCTCTGTCCCACCAGCTGGGGGGTTGACTTTCCAATGTATAGCTTAAAAAATCTGATATATCAAACCATTTGTATCTAACGTGTACAGTGTAAAATTGACTTAAATATCGCAGTGCTATTTTTTCTTATCAGAGAGGAAACCCTCAAGGTCTTTGGAAGAGCGTGAGATGAAGGGGATGTATACTTGTATAAAGTATCCCTGGCGAAGATGGCTGTAAAGTAGATGTTTGTAGTCTTTTACCACTTGGGGTTGCTTTTTCTCAGAATTCATCAGAACTTTGGATCTCTCTCTCTCTCTCTCTCTCTCTCTCTGTCTTTTAAATGGACTGTTTTTACTGCAGGGGCTTTTCTTCCCTAGAAACCCAACTCTACACAGGAAAACAAAAAATGAAAAAAATGAAAAAAAAACCAAAAAAATCAGAAAAACACTATAAAAAGTTTTAAATGAAGGCAGCAAAGGGTAGTTTTCATCTGGTGTCTTTTATTTAAGTTTTTAAGTTAAGAAAGGCTGGTGACATATTTATACATTTTTGTGCAAAAAAAATGAATGGCAATAGATTTTAAAAAATCTTATTATGTACTTTTGTGTGAAAAAGTCTGTATAATATTTCCCTTAAATATGCATTATTTTACTTGTGAGTTTTTTACAGAATTAATCTGAAATGTACAAGCCCTGGATTTGCTACAGAGTGAGAAGTTATTTTATTTTTTTTTAATTTATAATTTTGAAAATTCTGCAGAAATCAGAACTCCTACCATGGTTTGAAATGGGGAAGCGGGAGGGGAGCAGGGAGGGCTTGTCCAGCATGCCTGTATGTATATTTCAGAGTCTTTTTTAAATGTAAAAGCTGTACATTTCTGGGAAGTTAAGGTTTTTTGTTTCCTTTTTTCTACAAGCATTTTTGCAGTGAGCTTCTTTTATATATAGTAGACAATTGGAAAGAATACAAAAATATGTGTTGTTCATTTAAGAACTACAGCACAGCGCTGGTTCAATACACTAAAGACTTTGATAAAAAGAAACAATGATAAAGGCCTCCATTTTAAATGTCATTCATATATACCTTGTGGATGAGAGCTATATATTGATACACACTTTTTTAGAAGAATAAATTATTGAATTACTGAAAATAATACAACTTAATATTCATCTATAATAACAAAACTTTTAAATATGTTACTTAGGTTTTTTACATCTGTAAATATATATTTCAGTTATATAGATAATCTTCAATACTCCAAAGACCTACAGATTGTGGCATTTCAAAGATTTTAAGAACTTCGGCTTACCTCAATAGTGAGACATGTCTGCTTCTGGCAGCACCAATTACTTTAAAAGGATGATGAGCATCAAAAAGGCTCCTTATGGATTTTACTAGCCATTTGTGCAAGAAACTGCTCTTTACTGGATTGCTTGATCATATGATGTATAAACTGGATGCACAGAAAAGTGACTGCTGAACTTGCCCCAAAAAATTGAGGCACCGTTCAGGATTATTACTTCATGAGAGAGTCGACTGGACATTCTGAAGGACACAGAAGAAAGTGACTGAAATATGGTCAAGATAGATGCACCAGCCCTTTAAATTGTCAGCTTCATGGAAAAGGCTGCCAGATACTACAGGCTGGTAGGCCAAAGATCGGTGCCCAAATTCTACAGAAGAACTTTGGGTGACTGTACAGGCAGGGAGATGTCTCTGTCAAGTTTAGAGTTTTGGAAGTTGCTTGCAATGCACTTTCTGTTTACTTAGGTAATACTATATCCCTCTAGGTTCTTTGATGAGTTGAAGACAGTTATAGTTTTTCTTACTCATGAAAAAAAAGCAAATTAGATATAAAACTTTAGAATCACAATGATAAGATAGATGATATTTTTCTTATTTTGCCAAATGTAAATGAACTAAATATTGCAACTATAATTCTTGCTTGATAACAGTTTTGTATGTGTAATTTTACTATGTTAAACTTAAAAATCTTCCTTTTTAATTAGACAGCAGCTACATGGCATCACTGTAACTCCATCTATTCTCTCCCTATATCTCTGTTTGGATTTCTCACCTGGCTTTATTCTGCCCTTCCTTCCGTAGGCCAAAGCAGGTTTATTCATTAACTAATAAAGTAACACATATACATAAGGGCATTTTGGAACCTTACTGGTAAGCCACAGTCTTGTGGTAATACGCAGATTAATAGTAATAGAAATGATTTAATTCAAGATGAAAGAACTAGCTAGAAATACAACTAAGTCATTGTCCAAACAGTGTTGTAATTAATAGCTTCTATGTCATTATTCATGTCTAAGTGTCCAGAAAATGAGCAAGCAGTCTCTGTCTACAAATAAGCCTCATGTACTGGGATGCTCTAACCTACAATAATCTGTGTTGCGGTCCATGGGACAGGCATTTGAAACCTTTGGCCCTTAAAATTTGGCGCAACCCTGGCCTTTTGAAGCCACTGGGCTCAAAGATTGCTTTGGTTTGGCTTGACTTTGCTTGGATTTTATCTGTGATTTTTCACAAGTTATTGATTGATTGATTGATTGATTGATTGATTTCCTGTCTTTGGCTTCTGTTCTCTACTCTTCCTCTGTCCTGTCTTTAACCTGTGCATCTGTTCTCTATTGCTTTCTATAACCCTGCAGCATCTTCTTAATATTACTGCTACCATCTGGCCATTGACAGTTCTGCTGTCATTGCTACTATCACCACTTAGAGCAACATTTTTTAGTTCTCCTCATGTAATCAACCATTGCTGCCCACTATGCTAAAGATAAAAGTGGAAAACATCACTCAAGAGAAGTCTTTAGTGATTAAATACTACAGCACCGTGGAACATGCCTGAAGGATTTTCTACTATCTCGAACAACAAGATTAACACCTTGCTCATATAGTAGTATTATGAAGGTGCCTATACATGGAAGAAATTTGGACAAAAGTAAATAATGGCTGTACCAATTATAGACTTTATTTTTGATTGATGGGGGAGTGCTGTCCTCTAGTCAAGGTGAAAAAGGCTTCAGTGTTATCTATCATTCAAAGACATATGTGATTTGAAAAAGAAAGACCAACACAAGTATAAAACAGTCATAAGTGGGACAATGCCTGCTCAAGTGAAATTATTCTTCAACAGCAGCTATTGCTGTATTTTTAGTAGGTTTTGTAAGGCACCTTTTGAGTAGTCAGAGCAGAAAGACTAACAGGGTATGACCAGCTGTATGATTCAAAGTCAAGGGAATTTAGGCATCAGAAAGAGCTATTAATTTGGTGCAGGATATTCTTCTATTTGTGCATTGCTTTCATTAGTTGAATAAAGAGACTGCCTTGGCCTTTTGATAGGGCAGCCCTTAGGTGGGTAGAGTAAACAGAACAGAATGCTGGGAAGAAGGGAAATGTGGCAGACGCCATGGATCTCCTGCCTGAGAAGAGCGCCGGTTAGACTCATGTCGATAAGCCACAGTCAAGTGGCAATACACATTAATGGAGATGGGTTAATCAAGATGTGAGAGTTAATCAATAAGAGGCTAGAGATAATGGGCCAGACAGTAACGTAATTAATACAATTTCTTTGTGGTCATTTTGGGAGTTAAACTAGCCAGGCGGTGACACACAGCCCTCTCCTCCTAAAACAGAGTAGCTCCCAACGTGGTCGACTAACTCCAAGTAAAACTTGAAAGGGCTTAAAAAAGAATTCTAGACACAAATATAAACTTTA